GATAACAAAGAACTGAAAGATTTAAATTACCGGATCAAGATTTCTACAAAACGTCATCATATCACACAGTCTGTCATGAAAACCATCTTCAAACGCCCCAGGATTAATTGCTACAAAACAATGACTCTACAAATAAAAGAAATATACTCTCTTATATTTGATAAATAGAACTATTTTCTGAGAGTGCATCTGATTCTATGGAAATCAGCAGTACATGTATATTCTTGTTGATTTGGGAAGCAAACATTTCAGATTTGTCAACATCCTTGCCATTGATATTATTTTTCTTGCAAGATGTGCTGAAACCTTACATACTAAATAACAACAGTATCAACGTAACTGCGATTAAAAGAATATTTTACTATTACTTTTTACTATTACTCCTTGAATCTCTAATATTTATATAAAGTAAGCTATTGGCGCCAGTGAAACATGCGAGGTATAAAGACTCGTATTATAAACGTATATTGATTAACATCAAAACGTATATCTATATTCCTCTAATTTTCGTTTACGAGAAAGACAACAAAACCAACAGTATGAAAAAATAATTGTTTTCAGAAATGAAGGTGCGATCGTGACCTGACTCGTCCGTGTAACTCTGGTATTCCGCACACGTAAATATTTATTCATTATTTTACCTTTTATATCTTTGTCATAGACTGTGAACATGTTCTATGAATGAAATAAGTAAAACATTTTAATTTAATAAAAAACAATTACCACACAGTCGACATCGTGAACACCTACTTCCATATTGTACCCACATAAAGATCCACTCAACATAGAACAAAACATTTCAACCATCACTGCTAAACCATAACCTTTATATCCTGCTGTAAGATTCATAAAAAAAGAATGTTTCAAAATTTTACCAGTTACATTATGCATAAGCCGGTGCTAGGGGCCGTGGACGGTAGATTGCAATTACCACTACCGTCTATTAGGAGGTAAAAAACTGAGCCTGCAACGTTTTCAATTTTAAGGTGTTCACCTTTCTTTATGGATTCTGTGTTTCTCTATTTGAATTTTTGAATGTCCCTCTATACTGTATAAGAAAGAAGTAATGAAATAAATTATTTATATTCTAACAAAATAAATTAATATAATATTATATAAATAAATATCATGTTTTTGTTTTTTAAAATATAAGATGTCACAAGGTTTCCAGGAGCCTTCTTATCGCCACAGTTTGTTTTCTTACGTGTTTTTTTTCTTTGTCCAAGTCGATACATATCGTGCAATATACAATAAAACGCCACTGTCTTATGTTCCAGTAACCACCTTTCTCGCCATAATTTGACTACTTACATGTGTTTTCTCTTCCACCAAGGGGATGAATGCCGTACATTGTTGAACAATCAACAGTATCATTTCCATCTTTATCAACAGCCCATCCTTTTGGGATAGCATCACCTTTCATATCAGCCAAAATTACCTGTCCGTACATGTACATTTCATAAAAAGCCCATTATGCCATTAAGTCTTTTCACAAAAAAAATCTGACGACAAATTTCTATCTTAAGAGAAATATCACGTTTAACAAATAAGAAAAAGAAATGGAAAGATTTGCTTATTCACAACTGCCAATGTACGTTGCTATGGACGATTTTTATCGTACGATTTATCGCGCCTTAAGTATAAACTATTTTCAAATGGGAACAACGTATATTCGAAAGAAGTAATTTATCATAATTTCTAAAACCAGATTAAAGTAAACTGGCCTGTATATAGATGTCTGCAAATGATCCGTTATAACTATTCCACGAAAAGCAAAATAACAAATACTATAATTATAGCTGATAACAAATTGTCCATTGTTGACCAATCCACGTTTAAGCTTTATCAATAGATTTATAATTACTTTTCATCTAAAATTAACATTTAAATTCACCTAGCGAGCAATTTTGAAATCATAGATACTTTTTTCTCGGTAACCAAGGCTATTTACCGTATACCAGTATCGGGTATGTAGTATACACGGAATGTGTACCGTAGGTTTCGGTGTTGAAAATTATTCAATCATCGATCTTCAAACTGGACAAGATGTTAACAAAACAAATAGATCTTTGAATTCAAAATATGGATAATGTCTTTAAACATTTTGAAAAGCATCAAATGAAATAGTCTGACCTTTCCAAATGCTACAGTTGTAGTTGCCATATCTAGGACAAAACTGTCACCATCCTTCGCTGGAGCCGCTATACATATTGGATTGGTACCAAGTGCATTTTGTATCGCTCGTGTTGGTGCCATACCAGCACCTGTGTTCGTAAATGCCATTCCCTGGGATATATAATGAAAAGTTAATTTTACCTAAATTGTGAATTTCTTTATGAATTCGAAATTTTTGATTTCTTTAAAGAATGATGAACGCCGGGGTAAGACTGAATGGTATTTTTCTCTATTCTTTGTTAAGTTTTTCATATAAAATATAGTCATATAGTCATTAAATGGTTTTGTTAGCCATATATATACTACATGTACTACAACCCGTATTTAAAACATGCTAATCAATTAGTTCTTAAAAAGTAAGCTGCCCTGAAGTAATTCTCACGAGTGGCGTAGCCACGAGCATGACGAGTGAGAATACTGTTTTTAAAGTTCACGAGATGAAATAAAATAACATCTTACACAACAAACAAACAAATTTTCTTTTTATTTTATGCTTAAAAACAAGTTAAAACGAAATTTCCATAATATATTCGTTAATATTAAAATCTGTTTTCCCCATTCAGAGCCCCATTTAGTCGGAATTTCTCATTAAAAACAAGAAGTCTTGAGCTGAAACATAAGTCCGACAATCAACGTTAAATGACGGTGATATTGTTCATTTTATTAAAAAAATATGAATGATCGCTTATTTTAATAATACAAACAAACAATTCTTGTAGGAGAAAAAGTCCAACCATCCATCCATAATTCTGTTACTTACTGCGCATTTATATTAGACCTGGCTTTGTTAAATGTAAGCAACAGCCATTTTGTAAAGTTGTGTATTTCACTGGAGGAAAATAATTGTGTTTGAATTTGGATTATTTATTCATACACTTTTTTAAAAGAAAGAAAACTTATTTGAGGATTGTAACAGACAAAAAATAAGTGTTGACAGATGTGAAAACATTAAAAAAAGCAGCTAGGAAAATGGACAACTTGGAAGCTGGCTCAGGAACGCTGGGTTGTTTACTTATTCTACGAGCTAGTGCCTGTCATTGCTTTTCAATTTTTCATAAAGCATACGGCAGTTATTGCTCGTTGGATACTTAAATATGCCCAAATGTCGTTAAGAGCAGTTTTGTATGTGGAAGGAATGTATTTTTCAGACCGTAAAAATGAAACAAAAAATTTAGAGACGAAATTTGGTGATTGGAATTTGAATGAATAGAAGTAAGTTTTCTTCTTTATAATACTTTTGACATTTAAGTTATTTATCAATTTCAGCTTTGCTTTTCTTTTAACAGCCTGACATTGTCAGACTTTTCAGCAAAAATAAGATTGAGGAACTAAATGAGGAAAATCTTTAAAAAGTAGTTTCGTCATTGAAAAGTGTGAAATTATGTTTTGATAATTTTCACTGTGAAATTATCAAATATAATTTTCACGGATTAGTCAGTAATCCACTGAAAAGCATTAAATAAAAAAATGATAAAAAGTAATAAAAATATCATTTTCTCAACATCTTGTTTATATATGTATAAGACTTCAGGTTCTACAATTTGTTCTTTATTCTTTGGCGTGACGAATAACGTTTGTGATAAGTATTTTAGACGATGAATTGAATAACAATTATTTTCTTTATACGTTATAGCAATGCTATTTCATTTAAAGAAAATAAGACCTTATATGAAGTGAATTAACTTGAAGATATAAGAATGAAATTTGATTCATTGTTTCATTTACTGTTTCCATGGCAATTGTTTAAACTTACAATAAATCCCTTGTCTACTGCACAGAGACTATACCAACCTGCCATTCCAAAATGATTAGACCCTGAGGAAAGAATACCAAAACAATTTAGCTACTTTTTTTAATAAGAAGCCCCGCATCCATCACAACCCCCTCCAAATACACCCCCCCCCAAAAAAAAAAAAAAAAAAAAAACAACAAAAAAAACTCACACACACATTTGTGATCTCTTTATCTCTTTAATAATATTATGACTACTTGATAATTGTAATTAATAAATAAATGAATAATAAAATAAATAAATAATAGAAATCAAACAGTAATAATAAAATAAAAACAACAACAACAACTACGTCAAAAGCATACATACATACAACAAAGTTTGATAGGTTTTATCAGTGATATACATATTTTTATTATGATCATCTCCTTCCCTACTTTTATTTCGGTGTCGCCCTTGTGTTTTTGCAATAGTATTTTATAAATGCCGCTCTGTCTTGTAGATCTATGATCTCTTATTTTACAAGTTCAATTATACTAAAATGAACAATGACTTAACTAACAAAAACAACATTATTAAGACGAAAGGATTTAGAATCAGCAACCATTAAATTAACACGAAGAGTGTTCAACATGCGGACGATTCACAATAAATGTTGCTGTTTATAAGACCTAGGTCTTTTGTTATAATGTTTGAAATAAATAAATAAATAAATAGATAAATAAGTAAATAAATTGATTAATTAATAATAATAGTAATAATAATAATAATAATAATAATAATAATAATAATGCTAATAAAAATAATAATAGAATAATAGTAAAATAATAATAATAATAATAAACTCTATAGCTAACTGTTAAAAAAATAGATCAAACGTACCGCTGACCGAAACCCACCCTATGCCACTTTGTTTTGCTTTCTCAATAGCTAGATCCATGCAATAATTTCCGACAACTGGTCCTAAAATATACCAAACATTTTACATGTACATGTACGTACGTTGTATAACTGTCGGGACCAAATCATCAATATTGATAACAACAACAACAACCACCACCAAACATATAATGAACCGGATGTTAAATAAATAAATAAACGAATTAATAAATAAATAATATAAACGTAAATAAAATGAATAAATACGTAAATAAATGATGAATGTAAATAATCTAGAATTTGATTAACAAATCATAATGATAACAGTTTTTCATCAATAACGTTTTACAGACAAAGATGGTCCCCTGGTATTTTGGGAGGAATAAAATAGTATCTACCAAGTAAGTTGTCCCCATCCACTAATGCTGTTGCTTGAGTTTGCTTGACAATTCTGGGTGTGCCCTTCGTTGCTACGAATCGGTTTGTTACATCGCTCAAATATTTGTCTAAAAACAAAATAAATGTTGTATTTTTGCATGCTCATTTCCATGTAAATTTTGAAAAATGTTTTTAAAAGTGCAGTATTGTAAAGTGAACAAAGAAAGTAATTAACACATTGCAAACTGTCCGGACAATCTATGTACTTTATCAAAGAGAGGTTAAAATGTGCACAATGTAGCTCTGACTGCGTTAGTCACGCATGTTAATAAATACTGCAAAATTACTAATATCGCGCATGGAAATCATTATTTAAATCTTGAAACGTTTTTTTTTTTTTTTTAAAGTTTAGTACATTTTTTTGTTAGTTTCCTTTTAGTAAAATGATTTGATTCATCTTGACGCATGCATTTTAAGCTTATCGTTTTATGGCTTATCTGCAGACAAAGTAATGCAATATATATTTCATTTATCGTTTAACAAATTATTTAAAAACATAGCAATAAACCATATTTTCACACACTGGCAAATACTTACCCGAAGCAAATGTAAAGAACTTTAAAGTTCATATATTTGCTTTTTAAATGCTTATCCGATGTCACAATACTAAGAGGATATTTTTTGAAATATGGAATATATTTTCACGAAACATGATAAAATGCCACATATTTTCACGAGCCGGGACTGAATTAAAGATATTGGTGTTCGGATTTATTTTCTTAGTTAGACCATTTTCTATCATTCTAGATAGTTTTCAAAAACAAACTTCAAAAAAAAAGTTGTTTGTATTTATCAGATTTTTCAAACAAAATGGCGAAAGAAGTCCCTTAAAATAAATATGAGTTTTGACTCCGCCCACTTTCATATTTATATTTCATATTTATTTTTAAAAAATTTGAAATATATTTGACTGATATAGCACCATATTTCATAGGTAAAATTAAATAAAGAATTGTATCTTACATATGTATCAAACTTATCAGATGTCAACGTTATAAACTTTATATATGTGTTACAAATACTTTTAATACTTTTTATGTTTAGAATAGACTGAAATCAACAGAATTATTATATATAATAAAGACAATCAATATCATAGACATAACATCAATTGATGCCATCAGGTTATGAGCCTGAGAAAGCTTACCGAGATTTTTAAGACCATGACTGTAGTGGCCCCTGTAGTCAGCCGCCACCAACACGTCTGCTAACATAGATCCATGGTCATCCTCTATACCTACAGCCCCACAACACCGCTTAATAAATCCGTGTACCTTCGCCTTGCTGATAACACATTCTTCTGAAAAAGACGTCACTATAAAATAACATCTGTCCGTCTGTATGTCAAAATTTGAATATTGTAACGTAAAATCTCTGATAACTAAATTAAATCAAGATGGTTTGAAGCGATCAACACCAATGGTCAATAAATCTTGCGCAGAGGACTGTTTGTCTAAACAGGAAAAATGTATCTGGTTTTTCTTCTTAGATATAGATTGTCAGTATGATTTCCACTTGTCAAACATATGCTGACTGGTTATGTCAAGGTAATTGCCTCTATTCTACATTCATTTATAAAATCACAACAACTATCATCAATATAACAGCTGATTTATATCTCTAATGATTCATTACGATACTGTGCGTTTCATATTGAAAAAAAGGAAATATTTGATAAAATTATATTATAAGAGGGTGTATATCCATAAAGAATTAACCGTGATTAAAATAAATATATAGAGATCCGAGGAATTGATCACTGAACTCAAAATAAAAAAAAAAAAAAAACATGATAAAAAGAATAAATATAGGAGTGGGGTGCTTTTGATGAGGACACAAAGACGATAAAACAAAATATATGAGTCAATATTAGACACGGTTATAAAGGATTCTTTAAGAATTGTAATTAGGAGATTTTGCGTTCTGTTAAGAGGAAAAGGGGGCGTCTGTGGTCGAGTGGTTAAGGTTGTTGCCTTCAAACCACTTGCCACTGTTGTAGGTTCGAGCCTCGCCATCGTCTTCGGATTTCACATGAAAGGAAGCTATCCAGCCAGCTGACGATATATCCGTGGTTCTACTCAGATGCCCTTTCGTGCCTTTAATAATATACAGAGGAGTCCTTGAGGAAAAAACGTAAAACCGTTTGATGGTACATGCATGAAGGTTGAATTATATTTTTGCTATTCCTTCTTTCAAAAAATAATATAATAATAGTAATTGATATCATTACTATTCATACATCTTTGCCTATCAATGTCATAAAACCCAGAACAATGAATGCAGTTTTCAGAGAACAATACATGAGATTTAACATACAACAATATGGTTTAACTTAGAACAATGAGTGTTAACATAGAATAATGAGGTTTAACTTAGAACAACGAGGTTTAACATAGAACAACGAGGTTTAACATAAAACATCAAGGTTTAACACAGAACAACGAGGTTTAACGTGGAACAATGAGGTTTAACGTAAAACAATGAGATTTGAAATAAAACAATGAGGTTTAACATGAGATTTCAAGTATTACAATAAGATTGAACGTAGTAAAATGATGACGAGTTTTAACGTAGAACAATAACGTTAAACGTAGAACAATGAGTGTCGACGAAGAAAAATAAAGTTAAACGTAGAACAATGAGGGTCGACGTAGATCAATGAGGGTCGACGTAGAACAATGAGGTTTAACGTAGAACAATAAGGTTTAATATTATAGAACAATGAGATTTAACATTATAGAACAATGAGGTGTAACGTAGAATAATGAGCGTCAACGTTTTCAGTAAAATATACTGAGTACAATAATAATAATAATAATAATAATAATAATAATAATAATAATAATAAAAATAATAATAATAATAACAACTAAAACATAGTTACCTATTGACTCCATGACATGGCAGGATTTTCAGTCTGCATTATGTGAAGTTAACTGACTATAGATAACACAAACCTTTTACATTTATTTAGTTGACTATACCTTTGACTTACTGACCTGATAGGTCAATGGTACTGAAACATCTACTGATAAATAAAGGCTATGTTTTACAAGTCATTTACTACTTGTACTTAGGTTACCTGTCCTAGTTAATATGAATTGAAACAAGTCTAAAAAAGATGTAACGTATTAAAGTTTTTGTAGAACAATAAAATGTTGATAATTTTAAACCAGTCAAATGTAACCCCACTGAATCTGCTTCGATTCTTATTATTCTTTTTTTAAATTATGCTTTGTTTATATGTTTTTTATTTAACTGGAAAATTGTTTTGTCGAATTTAAAAGTTTTATTGATAATGTTTTAAGGATTTGTTTTATTTATACTTGTACCATTTTATTAAGAAATCAACATTGAAACAATACGAGTGAGGGATATAGTTATTAAAAGAATCATGAAATGTCTAAATCAATGAAATACAATAATATGTCAGGAGTTTTACTTCAGTTTTCCAACTTATACTTTTATATGTCTGAAAATGCACATGGTATCGTCGTTTATATTGTGTACGTGTGTGTGTGTACATGTGTGTGTGTGTGCGCGCGCGCGTGTGTGTGTGTTATGCCATAAACTAAAAAATAACTAAAGTTACTTTAGTGATAATTATCTGTAACTTCCGAAATCTTATATCACTTTATAAACGTTTTTACATTACTTTCAAAACTTTGTTTTTATATCACTTTAAAAGTCGTTTTAACATCATTTTAGTTTTCTTTTTACATCACTTATAAACCGTTTTTTACATCACTTCTAAAGCTGTTTTATGTCACTTATAAAGCCGTCAATTTTTGATAACTTTTTTACATCACATTAAGAGCCTGGTTTTAGCATCACCTTAAAAGCCGTGTTTTGTCCAGTGTTTTACATCACTTTAAAAGCCGAGTTTTTACATCACTTTAAAAGCCGAGTTTTTACATCACTTTAAAAGCCGAGTTTTTTTACATCTTTAAAAGCCGAGTTTTTTTACATCTTTAAAAGCCGAGTTTTTTTACATCTTTAAAAGCAGGGGTTTTACGTCTTTAAAAGCAGGGGTTTTACGTCTTTAAAAGCCGGGTTTGTTTTTACATCACTTTAAAAGTTTGTTTTTAAATCACTTTAAAGTCCGGGTTTTACATCTCTAAAAACTGGGTTTTTACATCTTTTAAAGCGGGTTTTTTATATATTTAAAAGCTGGGTTTTTACATCTTTAAAAACAGCTTTTATATCTTTTTAACAGCCGGGTTGATGACTACTTTAAGCTTATTTTTGTCGATATATAGACGTACGCCCGTGACTAAGTTGTTCATGTAGTTACCTTGAAACATCTAGGGTCTCTTCTCGATGGGTTCGATAACCGCCTCTTTCACCTTAGGTAGCCATCTTGCTAACTTGCAGAATATAAGTGGTTCAACTTAGGTACCAGTTCATGCCCGAAATAATGCACGGAGAGGCACCTGAGGTCTTTCTCAACAAAAAGCTAGAACCCACCATAATTATGACCTCTACAGTGTTAGTAGATAAATTATTAAATAAATTGATAAATCAATATTTTGATATAAATAAATAAATAAATAAATAAATAAGATAAGATGAAGAAAAATATAAGATAAAATGTAAAAAAGAAAATATATATGGGAATGTGTTGGAAACAGGACAACCCGTTTAAAATTTCATAATATCAGTTACATCTACATACTGCCTATCAACGTGTACTTTATATTGCAATTTTACCATGGAGGTCATCACATAGTATTCTATCGCGTATACGCCAATGGTGATCGCACTATTATAAATGAATTTTATCATGTGAGGAAAAGACCAGTTATTCATGCTTCAAAAGCACCATTGTCACACGCCCGTGTTCCGTATAATTAGGACACATCTATTATTCATGGGCTCTATTACTAATAAAACATTCCTTTATTCACTTACATTTCTTTTTTGCATAATGTTGAATAGGACCTAGCCAAGCGTTCGATGGAATATATTAATTTGAATACAGCTTCATAATGCTGCTTTCATTTTACTGGCATTCACGTCCTTCGTATCAATAAAATTCTCTTAATTTCATGGTTTATATGTGGAAATCAATTTCATAACGTGAACTAGTAATGATTTGCAAAACATATACGGTTAAGAATTTGCACTATGTTGAGTTACATTATAAAAGTCGCAAACGATTTTCTTTTTAAGGATAATTTGAAGGGAAAAACCTTCCCTCGTGGTGTCTGTCAAATGCAATACTGATACAGAAGCCATACAAGTCATTTGCTATACATGTGCACGTGTAATGAAATGATACATAATGGTAGATATCATGCCCACAATTGCATACATGATCCTTATTCATGTAGCTAAACAAAGGCAAATCATATTATAACTAGGAGGCACATGTCGCAGTCGATATTGTCAAACTATCCCTACGATATAAAAACCATATCAATAAACAGCGACAAGACAATTCGCGCATTAGACACAAAATACAAAAATATGTTTTGATTTTGCTTTGTGCCATATTTTAAAGGTACACTATGCCTTATGAATACTCATTTATAAAATTATTTAGAAATGTCAAACATTTGTTAAATAATGTTTATATGATTGATTTAGAGCATGTTTAAAAGATTCAGAAAATAGCGTTGAGTATGCAGTAATGTGTCGTAAGGAAATCAAAAATGGAAAAATATGAACAGTTGAACATGTATTTTGATTTCCATACAAAGTACTAGTTCACTATAATTATACCAATTGGCAACGGAGCAAAAGAAGCTGGTGAATCAGTATTTTTAGGAAACTGCAACAAGGTACAAAAAAGAAAGTTTTTTTAGTGAAATAAAAGTAATAACATTTCTGAGGTATAATGGGCTTTAGAGAATGCATGCACAATATCAGTTATAAAGCTCTAGCAGCCGATATAATACCTTAAAAAGCGTTTGCATTTTTGTTTTGGTTTTTGTTTTGTTTTGAATTATATTGCCTACAGCTCATTAGCCTCTGATTTAAACATATTTATTGCAATATTGAATAGATATAGCATCCTGTAAGATATTCAACAAAATGTTAATATAAATATCGGCTATAAACAATATCTAACTTGACAAAGTACCATCAGGGGTTAAGTAACTTCCATTAACTAATGGCATATTTCCGATCATACATATTCTAAAATATCAGTCTATGTCAGCAATGTATTGTATCAGGGTAGACTGACCGGTGATAGAATGATGGAACAATATCCGATTAAGATGTAACCATAATCGTGATAAAGCATTATAAATTTCTATAATGCTCATTGGCTGACACATCATTGTATAATGAGCCATAAATACTCTTCTGAAATTGCTTTGTGTTTTATCAGTGGCTCTTACTTTTTCGATAGTTATATTTTCAGTAGATGGCCAATATTGGGAGCAAAATAAATGGCATTCGTTTATTTCATATTTATTTGAACAAACATTACACGATGTAACTAACTAGTTAGCATTACATTCTTCGTAAGTTACCGAATACTAATTTCGCATGTGTTTAAATAAGAGCGGACAAACAAACTCAATGTCAAATAACAATTGTCTCGGAAAAGTTACCTTCCGCTAGACGATCGATTAGAAATCCGGTAACCCCTTATTAACCTTAGCGGACGGACACGCAATAATGTGTATATATAAAATCGTGCGCGTCTATATGATATAAAGGTTTTGACATTTCTTTATTTTATAGACTAAAAAGGTACCAATTTTGAATACATTATATTTCTTTTTAGATATTTTCTGATTGAGTAATAAGAAAAGGACCTTAAGAAGTGGACAATATCTTTTTTATTTGATTTATTTGAGGTTATAAATAGAACGTGGTTAACATCCTAGTTTGTAAATATCTTTCATATGAAAATCGTTAAAACCAATAGGTGATAAACATAATGTAAAAAAAACGTCACAAGATGTGATACTTTTCCATATTTCAACAGTAACATAACAACTATATGTAAAGGAGTGCATTTAAGAACAAGGTCCTTACTTGAAATGTGTCAGAAATAAATGTGTGTCATATAATTAAAAAATTTATAATGTATTGTTATAATTTATGACGTTAATGCAATGCACGCAATCTAAGAATAATGAAACTTATGAAGATAATGTCGTAACTAATTTAAAAGCAACTTCAAAGTCCCATTCAGAGGTGTGGGGGAAAGGAGCATATAGATTTGCCTTCGACCTGCTGTAGACTAACAAAACATAGGAACAGGGTATGTTGTGGGGGGGGGGGGGGGGGGGGCTTTGGGTCATCCGTGTCATGTTCACATATAAATGTATTTCTAGTTTACTTTAATTTCATTTATCTTTTATTATAGATCGCATATTACGCCAATCCATTCTCGACCATTATATGACCATAAAGACTGATGCTGACAACGTTACATTTGACATTGTAATTATAGATATATCATTGCCATTAGGGAATCATTTATATACTCTATTCCAGATAGCAATTCATTATGTTAAGTGGTGTTGTAAATGAGACACTTCTGTCATGATGACTCATTACGAAAAGTCTCGTTATGTTATTTTATATCATCATTACTTAGAGGGTATATGATGTTGTGTTGCTATTTTATTTTGCATGCGAGATAGAATACTAGCATATTTCACATCAGATGCAATTTTTATAATTATCGTTGTTTTACTAAGATGAAATATGACTGGTTCGTTAAACTACTGGGTTCTTTGCTGGTGTGGCTGGGTTGTATCGGGGTCTTCGTTCTGTGAAGGTCGCCTTGCCTTTCCGGTCTCTGTTCTAATGTTATTATTGATATTTAATATGCATGAAACATTTAAATGTGTTTATTTCATCGTTCATAATGGTTTTAAGAAATATTGACTACATGTCTTCCCATGTGACGTAATTAGCTATTCAGGACGTGAGAAAGTCATAACGAAAAAAAAGTATTTTTCGCTCACTACAGTGTTTGAGCAGTCCTTCAAGACGCTTGAAACACACAATGATTACAAGAAGGAAAATATTGCTTTTTTCGGCGATTCTTACATCTTTCATCCATAATCGTCAGTACATGAATAAATCATCGTAAAGTGCATTTCGACTTGAACAAAGAAGATATTTTAGCATTTAACTATTTGAGCGTCTTGTCCGGTATATACCGGAGTACGGTATTTAGTGTTGTGCTTCAACGCTGTTTTAGTCTCATTTTCAGTACCGTTCATGAACAGACTCAATCAAACCGAGCCTGCAACATTTTAAACTTTGCCCTGTTGTGCTTTCTTTATGGATTCTTATTTTCTCTATTTAAATATCACATTAAACCAACAATCAAACGCTTCAATTTGAAGCATTTTGTGATACAGGTTCGAATTATTCAGGAAAACAATGATTATCATTGAAGTTTTTATAACATTATAAGGGATAATGTCAGTCGTTATCCTCCCATGTAATGCTTAATGTATACGAACAATTAATGTTTCTGAGGGATAACTCTTCCCGAGATATTCGTTATTCTCGTAAATTATCAATTTATTTTTCTCACTGATCTGATTAAATGAATGGAGAAGGTTTCTGACAGTTGCTAACAAGCTTTCAATATTGATTGACCATACCGTAATTTGCATCAGTGGTTTCTGTCTTTGATTTGACACAAATAGTAATTGGAAGACCAACAAACATAGCATGAAGCGACACTTTTTCGATCTTTAACAAACAGTTGACAAATAAGACCTCGTCCTTTTACAATGGCATGCACTGATGCATTTTTCATTTTGGCGATTAATTGTTTATACTTTAAGAAATGATCTACAACTATTGCTTAATCGCTAAAATATAAAAAAAATAGATATTAGAAATAAATAAACGCTTGCACAAGAAATGCTTAATACAAGTTAACAGATAAACCTAATTATCAATTCTACTGCCTACGTCACTGCTTATTGAATTTGCTTCAACTCTTTCGGCAACAGTAATAATTTGTTCGTAGTAATTCATGTTTCAAAGAGATTTCCGTACATAATTTCGATTTAGCATTTCCTCACAATCCGGCAAAAATTTAAACTAAGTATACTTATAGATAACAAGTACAAGTAAATGTCCACTCACCTTGTGTATACACAATAACTTTGAAAATACGCTTTTGTTACTTTGAAAAAAATAAAAAAATAAAACAAAACTGAAAGATACACCTGAAAAACCTACAAGTAATGTTCATTCAATTACATGGCCATTTGCCTATGCTTGTATTACCATAACGGTCGTTAGAAAACAGAACATTGAAAAGGCAGAATACGTGCTGCTCTTCCAATTACAGCTCATGTCAGATCAAAAACAAAAACAAGTGACGTCAATAATGACCTTGTCAATCAAAATTGAAAGCGGGTTAGTAACTTACCGAAGTTAGAGGAAATAGAAATTAGAAAAGAAAATCTGCTTTCAACATAGAATTTAGATGTAAAGTATATTTCGATATACAATATAAAGCAATAAAACCCAATCTTTGGACAAATATGTTGATTGCTTTTATATTAACTGAACGTATTGAAACGAGTCATATGTAATAAATCCAAAAACTTGTACTGTAATTGATGCAATTAAAAGCACATGGATCAAGAAAAAGGGTTTAGTTTATCTACGGTCGGGCGATACATTTGTGTTCATCCCAAACAAAGAGAGAATTTCAGCTTATAAAGTTACATTTCAGACGCCGTACACATCAACGCATTTCTAATTCTAATCAAGTCCTGGCTTAAATTAATCATCAACCAAAATCTGCAGCTATAAGAAAACAAAAAGCATTTTATTCAGTACGGTTGTACTCTCATTAAGCATGTTACAACCTGCATTTACATCAAGTTTGGCTTTCGAATCTTTCATTAATTCAGTATTCTACGAATGGATTTCGTATTTTTAGCGATTATGTAAGTACTATTTTAGTTTTATCTCTTTCACCCCTGCATTGGCGTCAAAATGATATCAATTACATCTTCTGAGATCAATACACTAAGCATTTCCTAATGATTTCATCTTCGTCCTTATGATTTCTTAAAACTTTGACATACTCACTAAACAAATTTCTCATTGTCTTACTGACTTGGCCATATTAATGACCTTTATTAAGCTTCATATATTATTCGACAAAACCTTTGGCAAGTCATGGAAAGACTTGTAATGAAAATATAGTAATTTATTAGTTTACAGGTATAGCTTTTTGTGCCCCTTAATGCTATAGATTCAAATTCTGACAGGAAATTTGATTTTCGTTTTAAGGCAAGAGGCTATCCAGCTAGCTTACGGATTGTCGGTGGTTTTATTCAGGTGCCCATGTGTACCTGAAATAATGCATAGAGTAGCACTTGAGGTCTTCCTCCACCAGTAAAGCTGAAAAGATGCCATATGTTTCATATACTGTGTTGGTATGACGGTATGACGTTTATCCAACCAACCAAACAAATAGACATAACAGGAATATATACATTTTTTCCTAACTCCATACATTTCTACGTTCAAGCACAGGTGTTAATTATTACATAAATTTAAAGGTGGGAACTTAAATGTTTCATGTACATCTGTTATGTCCTTGGTTGAATTGCCTTAAATTGAAATGTTTAAATTTGTTTTTTTTAGTCTTTCGGGAGTACTATTTAAAGCCCTATAAGTATTCGCACTTATTCAGTTATTGAACACAGTAAGTCTATAATAAGTAGTGACCTTTAATTATTTAATACATTAATTATTAATAACTTTCACATGGACTTCCATCTAAATCTACGAGACCTGCATACATTTTTTTTATTAAATGTTGATATGGAAGTGAACCGTAGTTTTTATGAGTTCTTTATCACCAATGGATCTCAACAGCACATATGAAGCGCGAATGAAAGTTTGGACACCGATTCCTTTGTTTCAATATTATGTTTCAATCAGGGTTTGGTTGCATGCTTGGCGTTATTTTGCAGAAAATTTGTATTTTAATTCCGTTTAGTGGCATTTTTTTCATTCATATTACGTGTTTTGGACATACCAGAAAGCCAAAACACCTCTACAAATTCTGCATGAAACCCCGATAGACAAATGGTAACAGTAGAGAAAAGTTAAAAGGCTCAAAAGCTTTGCATTAAATTTTTTTATAAAAAAACATTGCAAAAATGGAGAATTACCCTGTGAATGACTCACTTTCGCTATAACATATGGGGTTATGCTGCACATCTTGATTAGCGGAAGTTCACATATTGTCTCTTTACCGGTGCCTCATATTTTGCGAGCGTTATCATATTCAAAATACACTTTAATGTAAACGACACAAAAAGTAACGATATTGTGTAAGGTAAACGTTTGGGGGCGTCCGAGGCCTATTGGTTAAGATCGTTAATTTCAAACCACTTGTTTCGCACCGTTGTAGCTTCAGGCCGCGCAAGTGTCCTCGATTTCACTGATAAGAGAACGCTTTCCTGCTAGCTTACTGAATGTCGTTGGTTATACTCAAGTGCCTATTTGTGTCTAAAAATGCACACTGTGGCACCTGATGTTTTTTTCCAACAGTAAAGCTGGAAGGTCGCCATTTGACCATTTCTCTGTTGGTGCGACGTATCCCCACATACAGACACAAAAAGAAAACAAAGAAGAAACAAAGCTAATGTTTTATTGATTAAAGTAGCATTATTATCATTTTTGACAAGATTAGCTCAATTGGCTTTATAAATAAACATTTACTATTATAATTGGCATATAGAAATAATTGATAAGTAAAAATGTAATAAAATACTGCCAAGTGGTCGTTAAAAAGTTTTTCAGCGGACTTCAGCTGGGACATTTTCCATGAAAACTAGTATTTCAAACATTGAAATAAACTATAGTTATATCATTTGTATATTTATTCTTATAAAATATTACATGATAGAAAAAGATAATGTTGTAAGTGATTTAGTAAGCACATTTCTATGATGAGTAATAATATTTTTTTCTAGATTAAGTGTCCTAATTGAATTCTGTAATTCCAAACCGACTACGCTTACTCGCTCCGGCTTACCTGCAATCTTAACTCAATTCAATTAAAATTATATCACATGTTAAGCTTCAATAATTGAATGGGTAAGTGCAAGACGACACAAAAACATTATTTTACATTTTTGAGAAAGAAAGTGCATTTTATGAGATTTTAGTTTACATGGATATATTTTGAAAGCAATTAACTAATAAGTTATGATATAATTAAAATGTCATGTATATAACAATTTATACTTGGTTTTGTAATTCCATTAAGCTTAGGGTTCTTTAAAAATAGAATATATATAGATTTTATGAATATTGTCTTCTTTTCTTTTTTGTGTTTTATGTGCTATTTTAATACTGAGTTTTTACGTTAACTACTATTTTAAGAATTCGATTGTCATATTGACCGACGATTATAAGTCAAAATTTAACTGGAAAAAGTCAGTAAATTATGGTTAATCTTTCAATATATAATATTGTTTATTCTTAAACCATATACATGAACATTTGTATTTTTCTTTATCATTTTTTAAAATTAACAATCAATTGAATAATTCATAAAATCTAATTTGTAACTTTAAATAATTCCTCGGCATCTTTACTAAACACGAATAACAAATTAAATAAAATGTTTCAAAGTTGATAGTGTCATATTAATACCATTAAAGTGTACCTTTTTTCTCAATTATTGTACATATTTATTGTTTTTTTTTTTATCTCATATAGATAAAATAAAACATGCTATTGTTGTTTTTTTTCGAATATAATAATAATCAATAAATTTGAGAGTTGATCTGCGTTTATTAATTATTGTAACAAAACTAAGTGACAAACATTCATTTCGAAAAAAGCTTATTTATCTGTAAAATATTTGTTCTCTTCTGTAACGATATCAAACATCTACTCCAAAACCGGGAGAGACCGGACAATAAACGAGTGGTACTATTCGCCGGTCACTAGTAAATTCCGGTCAAAATACACCAGGAGAGACCGGGAATTACCGACAGGAGTACATCCCTCTATAACTAGATTTTCGGAATATTTAGGTCATCAACTCATCATTCTATTCAGCTTTCGGATACATGTACAACAATAACATACCATATTAATGTGTACTACAAAATGATAAATAAAAATACCCCGAAGAACGCGATTTATTGACGGAGAAGTTTATTTCATTTGAAAATGTTTGCATTGCGAAATTCCCCAGTTCGCTATTCATTCTATACATCGCGACATTTCATATTTAATTAATAATCAAGCACCCTCATACCGATCGGAAAGATCGGCTTTTATTATGTCCGACTAAAAGGCTCGAGAAGATGCTATCGCCCTTTCACAAAATCTGATTTCATTCCATAAGACGCGGACGCCAATAAGGTTAAATTTAGTGTCACGCTTCCTGTTGTATGACGTATTTTGTTTAAACAAATATCATCTAGAATAGAGGTCAATGTTACTTTCTATTAACTGTCTGACGCAACACGTGTAAACTGTCATGATATATTTTCAAATTGAATCATGTGTAGTGATATTTCATTATTACATATGGAATCCAGTGTCATCATTTGTTTTCAAAAAGTTATAATATTTTTAGATTTTATCTGGAACTATGAGTACCCCGGTAAATGAGGATCTTGCATCGTTATGAGCTGCAAAGAGTGCAGCGCAGGCTCCAACATTAACAATATCATTTATTTTTAAATGGAATGTTCCGGTTACACTGATAGAATAACCATCTTTGTCATCACCGTGCGGATCCGATCTAGCTCCAACTCTGTAAACACCATTAACACAAATATAACACTCTAAAAAATCGGGTTGATGAGACCACCATTGTTTTGAAATTTGAAAAGAGAACATATATATTCCTGGGTACTTGCACGTAAAGTTGCCTGTGTTTGTGTCATATTCGTTACCATAGCTTTGAATAATGTTCGAATATTTTGCAATGCTGCTTCCAGTTACACCAGTTACACCAATTGCTGTAAAGAACACCCTCGTGTCTGAAATATTAGGCATATCAATCTTTATGCACTTAACATTCTTAATTAATTATTTTAAAATAATATTCACAGCAGTTTTACAGGTACGGAACAGAGGATCCAAACACCAGTATTAATTGACGCTTATTTGCTATGTAATTTAATAATAACATAATGTCGTACATGTGTAAAATAACATGGTATAACAGTACGAGTAAAACGTTTATTTTTATTCACAAAAACATTTTATTTGTACACAATTGTTATTCTATACGAGGGATGTCCGGAAAGTTCATATACATCTTCATTTTTATTGTATAACAATACATACGCTGTACAAATTTTGTCAGCATAAATATACATATCTAGCGAACAATTTTATCAAAAATTATTGAACTTTGACTTACGCTTGTATTTTAACAGTATTTACATACAACATATATACATCGTCATGGAGCACTTTGACAGCGTCAACGGCGTCAAATTAACTTCATGTTTACCAACAGTTTTTTTACTATTCAATTTCTTCCGATTTCAATAGCCATGGTACCTGTCTGGCACTTAATACATGTAATGTTTCTTTGCTATTACTTCATCAATTTCTTATTAAAATTATTATTTAAAATATAAAAGATGTCACTGATTCCCATACAGTGTGTGAGATGTCTGCCTTTTTCAAAAATTGTAAAGCAATCTACGAAATTTCGGCCATGCTACTTTGGTCGTCTGGACCGTTTCTTATACGACATCCTGTAATCACCGCTTCTTAATCTTGTTTGACATTTAAACACAAGTTGCCTTTAACATTTTATGGTTCATTTTGTTTTTAAAAAGTAAAGATTAAAATCTCAGTTTGCGCCATATTAGCGTTGCTATAAAGTTAAATATCATTACGTTGCTCCGTCCGTGAATTTGACGTCATTTTTGCAACACCAATTTACGCACCTTCATTGCCTATAATCATCTTTTACAAGCTGTTTGTTTACGTATGACGTCATAATTTACAATAAATATCATGTAATAGTATCCTATGATGCCACAAAATTGAAAGGAGAGTTTGCGTTAAAATTACAACTTTTAGCAACTTATTATTCGAGTAGCTATCGTTATGAAATCAAAGTGCTGAATGATTCGTTGATCATGTTGCCATAGTGACCGGCGCTTTACAGATATTTATTTTATCATGTCTTTTAATTTAGAAATATGTAGCAAATAAATACTTTAGCAAAATATTCAATCATCATATTGATATGACTGTTTATAATAATTTTATAGCTTTGTCTACGAACTTTCCGGACAGCCCTCGTATATTTCAATGCTTTGTTGTCATATGATAAAAAGTATCTTACATTCCTTGTCATATTATTCCAAATTTATAAACGAGTCCAAGACTCGCGTAAATGTATAAGCTCGTGTTAATTTTGCCACCTTTAGGAAATTAACTTCACATCGCATTTGTCCCAAATTTCTCCAAGTAACAAACACGTAACATTCTTTAAAACCTGTACTAAAACACTAAAATTTATGTTTGCCCTTTCTTAAGAAGCAATTATTTATTTCTAGGGCTTTTTGTGTTTTAGCTATACGAATGCATTTCCTCTGCAAGTGGTGCATATCTCCGACGAAAAATCATTTTCTTTTTCATATGAAATAAATGAAAACCAATTATTCATGGTCGATAGAAATTTGTGGGTGCCCGCTTATTTAGCGATGCAAGCCGTCCGGTTAACGCAATAGGTAGAGCGTTGCAATGTGAATCGTGCGACCTGGGTTCGATTCCCGGACAGTGCAGTTCACTTTTCTTGCGATTGATCATAATATTCTTCCTACAGTACTTTTGCCCTAGCTTGTACAGAAGTTATAAGTTCTTGCAAAAGTAAAAGCAACTAGTACTAAAACAAATTAACTGCTTAACAACTTGCCCAGGAACTATACGGTTGCTGAACTGAGCTCTGGAAAATTCAACGTGACTTACTTCAGTGATCCGCAGTAAATGCTACCATTACCGCCACCACTCTAAGCAATGCACATGACACGTACCTAAGATTTTCCGCCATCGATAAAGTTTAAATGCGCCATATAAAACTCATTTTTCAACTAGACTTACACCCCTTAGTAATATGAAATGTTTTTCTTAAGCCAAATTTAGAATTCAATTGTAGAAGAAACCATTCAAATTAAGTTAATAATGCTTTTCCAGACACGAGTTTATGTAAATTGCAATAAATAACTGTAGTTTTCCAATCAAAATTATTTATCATGTTACCTGGACATGTGTACCTGTTACAGTATGCTACTTGTACTGGAGAACCTTCACAATGTCGTCCCTTGAGAGATGGCTTGGGTTGTGTGCAGGTTCTAGATCTTATCATTACTCCTCTACCACACGTGTCACTGCACGAGCCAAAACTTCCCCAACTACTCCATCCTCGAATAGCGAGCAACCAGAAAAGCGTCTTTCGGTAATGGCCCAAATCACGCCGCCAATGTATTCGGGATACAATCTGACTTCCCCACCTCCCTCACTTGGACCTCAGCAGTATTCTTGGCAACACTATCCTCCACATTTACAATTTGTTTCCAACTCATCTGTGCAGACTCCCACTTCTGAACAGCCGGCCACACTTAACACAACAATTTCGCCTGGTAGTCTTGGAGATAATATCTCATTCAGTGCTCAAAATGTTCAAAATCAACAGAGTTGAATGCAATAAAATCAAGCCAATACGCTTTAGAAACAAAGCTTTCTAAACTTGATAAAAATAGAGTCAGATGTTCTCAATATTTCAAGCAATATGAAAAAAGTTGAAAACCGTATAATTATGGTCTCTTGAGGAATCTATGGGGCAAACCACTACCAAATTGAACGATTTAGAAGCAAGCAGAAACTTTGACTCTGAAATGTGTGATGATTTAAAAAAGAAAAATGAAGAAGTTATGAATGCTTTGAAGGCAGAAAAATCAAAAAAGTGATGGCTTATTAAAATCAGTTGATGACCTAAGACGTGAGAAAGATTCGTTAAAAATGATGTTATTGACCTTAAAGGGCGTTCAATGAGAGATAACCTGTTATTCTACAATATTAATGAAGAGAAAGATAGAGAGGCTAGAAAGAAAGAAAATTGTATAGAGAAAGTATTAAAGTTTTGTGTTGACAAAATTGGAAAAATTGACGCATATAGATATAAAATTGATAGGGCGCATCGTGTCGGAAGTCATGAACATGGCAAAATACGCCCAATTGTTGCTAAGTTTAACTTTCACCAAGATAAGATGGAGGTGAAAGAAAAAGCAAGGCTCAAATTATCTGGAACTGATGATGGTGTAAGTGACCATTACCCTCAGGAGATCCGTGAGAGGCGCCAAAATCTTATCCCTTATCTTTTGGTCAGGCGAGAAAATAAATAA